ATCGATTTTATCTTTTTTTTTTTTTTTTTTTATGTCATATTTTACTCCCCTACCGCCATTTTTTCCGGGTTATAGATATTTTAGTGGCCTCTAGGCCCGTGACTCCATTCACGGGCATTTCGCTAGTCTGTAATAGCTGTAGAAGTGAAAAAAATTATGCATCCCCGAACTTTTAATGTTGTAGAGCTTTTAAAGCTCATGTCACTTATGTCCAATGTTTATAGCGGGAGAGATATGTCGTTTCCGCTAGAAACGTCGAGGTCTGGGATTACCTGAATGACTCGAATAAACATTCGATCTGTGAAGTAATTAATTTAAACGAGTAGACTATGAAAAAGAAAAAAATCTTTTTCTGCAAAGTAATGGTGATGTTATGTCAGAAGTGAATAGGCCTCTGTTTAATGTTAAGGAGACTGAAATGTTATCAAGTGCAAAAGAGGAAACATTTCTGGTATTTATAAATATAAGATCGATAACCAAAAAGATAGAGAAACTGGAAGTGTTCTTGAATGAAGTAAAGCCCAAATATTATGTGTAGCAGAACACTGGCTAGGGGAAAACAAATGCGTAACACTGCCAGGATACAGCTATATTACTACATTTTGTAGAAAACCTGCAAAAAACGGAGTTTCTTATGGAGGAGTGGCAATTTTAGTTAATGAAGCGTATGCGATTGACTTAAGAGTACTAGACATAAGTAAATATTCAAGGGAGGGAGAATTAGAACTTACGGCAGTACACTGCATAACCCAGAACATAATAATAATAAACATTTATAGAGTACCTAATACAACCAAAGAGAGCATTGAAAAATTTTCTGCTGTTATCGCGGAATTAGTAGATTAATTGGGAAACAAGACAGGAAAATTAATTTTATGTGGTGATTTTAATTTTAATTGTAAGCAAGTGGTTAAAGAGAGCAAGGGACTGCTAGAACTAATTGCAACTAACAATCTGGAAATTTTAGTCGAGGAGGTGACGAGGATAAAATCGAATGCTTGTTTGGATAACATCGTTACTAATATAGAAGAAACTAGAGTCAGAGTGATGGAACCTGCTCTCTCGGACCACAAAGCACTAGTATTAACACTCAAAGGAGTAAAATTTAACAATCAGGAGAAATGTGTAGAGTAAGGAATTTCAGTATTGAAAACTTTGAAAACTTTCAAGGGAACCTCTTAGCGCTAAAGAAAATTAGGAATGGATACTATGAAAACCCAGATGATCTCTACAGTGATTTTGCAAAGATGTTTAAAAGCATCTATGAACAATCTTTTCCATGGAAGAAAGTTAACAGAAAAAGGAAAACTTGGATGGACTCTGAAGTGAAGGAGGCAAGAGAATGGCTATTGATACTACAAAGATACGCAAATGACTCAGAAGAGGCCAATGAAAGTTTTAAAAGTTTTCAAAGAAAATACTTAACATTATTACAAAGAAAAAAGTCAAAGCATATTCAAAAAGCAATCAACAATAGTAAAAATCCGTCAAAAACTCTGTGGGATCAAGTGAAGAGAAACTCAAATTTTAAAGAAAAAAGTAAAAATAATTTTATTTTAGATAGGAATGAAATACCACCGCATGAAATAATGAATGAATACAATAAATTTTCAACGACGATAAAAGAAAGGGTTACTCTCATCAAAAGCAATCTAGGTCCACTAGCAGTAGTACCTAGAATAGAAAATACATGTGTACTACATCCGACGGATATCTATGAAGTGGAGACCATTATAAATGAACTGAAAAATAAAAGTTCAGTGGGTGAAGATCAAATCCCCATCCAGATTATAAAAAAATCAGTCAAACACACACGTGAAATAATAGCGAGAGTTTTCAATCTCATGATAGAATGTGGGCAGTACCCATCTGCCTTAAAAATTGCAAAAATTATTCCAATCTACAAGAAAGGAGAACCCTCAGAGTACAGTAACTACAGGCCACTAGCACTGCTGCCTAATTTCTCCAAAATATTTGGAAAATTAATTTATAAAAGGGTATATAAGTTCCTAGAAAAACATAGGATCTTTTGCAGGAAGCAGTTTGGTTACAGGAAACACTGCTCAACGACGGAAGCTTTGTTTGAGATATTAGACGAAATTACACAGGATGATTTACAACACCCAAATCTAGCAGTGTTTTGTGATCTAACAAAAGCGTTTGACTTAGTTGATAGAGACTTGCTGTTAAAAATTTTGGAGAAAGCAGGCATAAGAGGAAAAGCGGGCAGTGTCTTACGGTCATATTTACATCAGTGGCTTCAATATGCTGAAGTTAAAGTAGAAGGAAAAACGTACATCTCAATGAAATTATTAAACGAATATGGAGTCCCCCAGGGTAGTATCTTAGAGCCGCTTTTATTTATAATCTATGTAATGTATGTAAATAATGTACTAATGAGTGGCTCGGCTGTGGATTATGTAGATGACAAAACAGTGGTTTTCAAACAACTAAAAAACGAGGAAGATTGGAAATCAGTAAAGAAGGATGTACCTAATTAATCTAAGAGAACTATATTCAGCCATGTCGCAGTCATTCAGCACGGAAAAATCAGTATACATGCTATTCGGCAAAAACGGAAAGCACGAAGTGAACTTGATTCAATGGAAAAACAGCCAACCACTGGGTGAAATCGAAAGGGTGAATAAACACAAAGTACTAGGACTAATAATACAGGAAAATATTTAATGGAATGAGCATATAGACGCGATAGTAAAAAAACTAGGATCCTACAGCTATGCAATAAATAGACTAAGACATTTACTAAACAGAGCTGATTTGATTAAGCTTTATTATGCCTTCATCTACTCGACGATAAGATATGGGATATTGTTCTGGGGAAACTCGAAAGGAGTTGATAGAGTATTTAAACTTCAGAGAAGAGTACTTCGTAACATTTTTGGATTTAAAAAAAGAGAAACATGTAAACTGATATTCAAAGAAAATGAATTAATGACTGTATA